CTAAGCAAGCATTAGGTACAGGGGAAAAACCTGGTTTCCCGAGGGACTTGTCAGGTCTGGGTGCAGGGAGGTGGTAGAGGCAGGAAAGCCCAGTGAAGTTCACTCTGTGTTATTTCAGCTTTCCTCAGTTGAAGTGAACTTCTTATCTTAAATCACATCTTTCATGTTTTTATGTAATCTTCCATTTTAGTCCTCAAAATCCTCTACACGTCTCTGTTACTGTCATGGTTTTTTGTAAGACTTGGCCCATGCTTCTTCCATAGTAACATCCCCATGAATAGGTTGTTTGGGGATCTTCACCCTGTACGGACAAGACTTTAATCGTCTGTCTTTAGTGAGACAAAAATCCAGCTGAAGAATGTCAGTCCTCTCTTTGTGACCTGTTTTCTCATGTGAATCTGCCTGCAGAAGACCAGCTGTAAACTTCTAACTATGTTGACCTTTAAGCTGGCAGCACTGCACTTCAGAAGGTGGATGGTGACAGCTCACACTTATCTTAGGCAGATTTCCAGGTAGCAGCTTGGCGATGGGGACTCACCAGCATGTCCATGCCGGTGTGGGCAGATCTGGGACAAGAGCAGGCCTGCTTTGCTGGTGATGGCTCTCATGCACCCCGTGTTTGGACAGGGATAGAAAGCGAGGTGGAGAATTAGCTGCAAGCTGACTGCCCAGTCTCCTGCGATGAAGGCTGACTTTGGACTTCATCTCTGAAGTGTATGTTGGCGGTGGAGCCACTCTGTTCAGTAAGGTCTTCCTTCAGAAAACAGACAGCTTTCAAAGGTCTGTAGTGCTGTGTGAATCTGCATGATGCCTGGGTAAAGATATACCTCATTCCTGTACAGAGTTTTGAACAGTTAATGTCTTAAAATAGTCTTTCCACTGAGAAGAATTTGAATCTTTCTTGCTGTAGAAAGACAAGTTAAACAGATAATATGAATGCAAGTTTCTTAAAGATACCCAGTGTCTGCTTTCTCATACAGCATAGCTACAGTGGCTTTTTTATTCTAGTTCAGTATTGTTTTTCTTACTCCTGTTGCTTTATGCATTTTATATAAGTAATGTCTTACAGTATACCCTTTCAGGAGATCATGGTTTACTGTAATACACATAGTAGGTAAACCAACCCCAGTACAAAAGGATACATTCTTTTTGTGAATTATGCTTTAAATTTCTGTGGTAAGCCATGCCTTCCATGTTATCAGAGCAATAATACTCTCAAACACAGAAGCTTTATGAGCGATGACATGGTCCTGGTTCATTGACCTTTCATCAACAAATCAGTAAAGAAGAGCATGGAAAAGGCCAGGAGATGCCAGGTAAAACTTCCATCTCCTGGGGATGACTGGGAGGGAATCGGAGAAAAGTTCCTGATCACCATAAATCATCTGCCACTGAGGAAGCATGAAGGACTTAGTCATCCACAGACCAGAAGGAACCATTTCCATGTAATGTTTTACCTCTAAAACCTTGCAAACACAAGATCAGTTCTCAGTTTCAGATGAAGAACTCCAGTGTGTTCAGTTCTGTTTCCTCTTGGGTTTGTTTCATGCAAGTTGTTCGGTGGTCAACAGAATTGGATTGATGTACAGATACCTGCTGCTTTTCTCCCCCGTCTTGTGGCTGTCACTTTCTCCTCTACAAGAAGACTGGGAATGAAAAGGCCTGAATGTAACAGGATAATTATATCAGTGTGGTGCCTTCATTGTGTTCTGGGCACCGAACACTGCCCTGATGAGATACCATTCTTAGACTGGCCCATGCAGCAAAAATTAGATGCTTTGACTCAATGTCATGCCATTGAATGGGGCCTTTCAAATTTGGAGGAAAATTATTTTACTGCCTGTAACTCTGTATTCAAATAAAGAAAAGCCATTGGTATCCTGTAGTAGGTATCTGATGCTGCAAGTGCATTCATCTGTCCTGTCAGATTTTCTGTGTTGACTCTTCCTTCTTTATCTTTCTTGTACTGGTATCTCTTGTGGAGGTTCCTTACCTTTGACTTGCACTCCAAGTGCTTTCACCTGTTAGAATGGTCGGCGAACTAGGGAAGTTTTCCAGTTCGTGCCAGTAGCAAATCACAGCCTGTGGAAAGGTTATCCCTGCTAGTCTGTCTGATCCTGGGATATGTTTGCAAATGGACTGGGGAACACACACATTTTTCAAGTAGGTTTGCACAGCTGATACAAGGAATGATGTTTCAGTCTGAACACGTGTGATCTGGCGCTGTCCTGTTCAGCCATGCCTACTAGATGGTCTGAGGTCAGTACCTCTGTGCAAAGAGTACCCAGACACCAGCAGCGTGCATCTCGTGTGCAGATGTAAATCATGGTGGGTTTCTGTGGAAAATGCAGCTCTTTGAAAGTCCTCAGCTGTATTAATTGAAAAAAATCTGAAATTTAATTCCTGTTTTATCTCCGAGTATATGCGAAAATATTTTGGTGTATTTATTTTTGCTAATAGATAAGTTTTCAAAGAAAATTAGTATTACTCAGCTAGGTGGTATTTTCTTATTGCAGAGTGTCCCCAGCTGTTTTACACGATTTCCTTCTAAGTATTCATTCACACACAAGATAAATCCTTCTCTTCTAACTAAATGTTGCAGAAATATTGTTTTAAGTCTCTGGGTTAACAATTTTCTTTCTGCTGTGAGTTGTGTCTGTTTTTGCTTCAAAGTCATTTCTGTTTAGGTCTTTCTGGTACTGCGTGTTGTTACAACAATAAATAACAGTATGTGCGTTCCTCTGCATCTTTGGTTGATTAGTTTGAAAGGAGTTTAATGCAGCCATAGCATAACACTTTGTTAACTCTGTATTTCAATACATGTGGACACATACATATGTATATACAGCAAGGACAGAAGCAGAGCCTATCTTAAAGTGAAGAGAATAACATTTGATGTCCTGGCAATGTTGAAGTATGGTTGTTTAATACTGTAAACTGTATGAACCTGAACTGACCTGAAGCTTTGCATCTCTGCATAATAAAAGCTTGTTATTTTCCTAATACAACATGTATTGAAAGGCCCAATATGTAAGTTTTATGAACACTGACATTGTTGTGGTATTTTGAAATTTTGTGAACCAGTTATTTAAACGTACTTGTGTATCTGGACTTGCAGATGTTGCCCCACATACTTCAGTGTGATGTTTAGATATTTGATCTTTGCACATCGCTTTTTGCATGATGTGGTCAAATTACTGAAAGTGTTTTGCTTTTATTTTCCTTTTATATGATTGAGTGCAGCTGAGTTGCTCAGTTGGGAAACAAAAGTGGGTAAGATTGAAGATGAATGGGCTTTAAAACATGTAAGACCCTGGAGTCAGGAACTACATACTTGAATGCAGTAGAGGCTACAATGCAGGACATTTAGAAGTGGCTGTTTAGAATATTTGGGAGTTTCTGGAACTGATTATATGAATGTTGCTGATTTCAGATATTGGGCCATGCGTGAGGTCATTGAATTTAAGAGTAATGATGTCATCTAGTTTTTCTTCTGCAGAATTTGCTTAGAGTAGTCCTCAAGTGGTAAACCAGTAACTTAGGAACTCTGAGTGGCTCTGGGTAAGAAATAGTCTGGTGTGTGCCATGGAGTGTAAGAGTTATTTCAGGTTATCTTGCCACTTGTATGTGTTTGTGTATGTGCATAAATGTGGGTTGCAGGAACGAGAGAGATTCAGAGATAAGCACCGTGATAAAACACCTAGTAAGAGGTTTGAGGATAGACTAACAAGAAACTTTTAATTCAAAAAAGAGATTAAAAGCAGCAATATAACAACAGGTTATTCATCTGTCGTCCACTGAAGGTGTTTTGAGGACTGTCTTTGAAGGTCGGAAACAAATTGCCGGGCTAGACGAGCCACAGCTCATTGATATGGTGCTTCCTTTATTCTTGAGGTTTTTTTTCTCGTCAGCTCAGTTCACTGTGCTGGTGTCGGCCCTCATCATGTCTGCTAAAGTGCTGGTGGAAACGTCAGTCTGGGAAGCTACTTGTTTCTCCCTGCAGCTTGACAGTCCTTGGAGTAGACCGTCACAGCTGGTTAGTAGCACGTACCATAGTGAAGCCAGCAAAACTGTTTAGCTGGGAAGTTTAGAAGAGCACTGGCTGCCTTCCCAGCCTCTGGAAAGCGTGTATCCAGCAGGAGGTAACTGCAGCTGCTGAGTTAGAGCTGGTTTGCACATCAGCGATGCCCCTGCCTTTCTAAAAAGCTCTGCGTACTCCCCACCGCTGACAACTCTTACATGCACCTATAATCCCAGGTAAATCTGCACATATCTCTAATTATGATATGAAATGCTGGCGCATTCTTAGATTAGTAGGAGGTTTGCCAGGAGAGCCAGTATTTAGTTTCTGTGTTGGCACTGTGGATGAATTTTTGATTATTTTTTTTTTTCCTCTACCCCATTATAAGACTAACTGAAAACAATATGTTTGTTTGTGACAATCAGGGTGTGTTTAGAATGATCACTCAGTTCTTTTATTCTCATCATTTTGAACAAGCAGTCTTTTAGATATTGTAAGTAACCCCAATGGGGGTTGTTTGATGGGGGGTGGGGGTCTGTTTTGATAAGCTGACTTTGATTAGCAGAAATACATGCTCTGCTACCATGCATTGAGAAGGGAGGGTGCTGTGATGAAGAGGACAGAGTACATGACAACTCGAAATATTTCTTTATATGCTGTGATTTAATGTACTTGAAGCTAAACTTTATTAGAAGAGCTAGTTTATCTGATGGTATTAGATAGCTGTCATATTAGAACAGCTGTTTGGCGGGCAGTGTATTTTTTGCTCTCTTCATAGGCAAAGTCAAACCAGGCTTTGTCACCCTACTTTGAGCCTCAATAATTCAATGTTTTTCTGGTGTTCACTTACACAGGAACTGTACAACGGCGGTACCAGCTGTGCATCACTTGCAGTAGGGGCAGACCCATGGAAGAACCATTTGTGTCTTAGTAACATTGATTCCTTTCTTCCCCCCTCCCCACACTGCCCTGTTCCCAGCAGATATATGGAGTGATCATTCATTTCAGACAGACCCGGACTTACCACCTGGCTGGAAAAAAATCAACGACATTGCTGGGATCTACTACTGGCACATACCAACAGGAACAACTCAGTGGCAGCGTCCTGTATCCATCCCAACAGATCTCCAGGGCTCACGAAAAGGATCGCTTGGTTCCATTACTCCGTCTCCTACTCCAGAAACTGAGGTAACATACTGTGTCTTCTTGTGGGCTGCATACTGTAAAGAAAATTGCAATAACTTTTTGAACTTGCAGGTTTAACTGTTAGCTAAACCGAGCTTTGGAATATTGGTCCTAATAATATCCTGAAGTGTAACTATTTGTTGATAAAATGTTGTAAATCTCTATTTTCTATGTGCATTTTCTAATGGCTGTGCCTCATGAAACATCCTAAACTTTGGATGTGTAGGATGAAGTTAGACATAGATAAATTAGACAGCCAGTGCCTGATGAATGTGAAACTACTGCAGTTCTGTAGCATGCGCAGAAGCGTTGCTGCATTATATGGATATAGAATACATTAAAATTTTGCACATTATAGCAGTCTTTTGGCTGGAGTCTTTGCATCTTCTTTCTTTTTGGTTTACTTGTTGGGAGTATCACATAAAGACACCTGAGTCTTCATTTGAGACACTGGTTCCTTTACAGAGTGGTTTCTATTGGATGAACATGAAGTATTCTCAAATCTAAGTCTCTTAACATCCTACCAGTACAAAATATCTACACAAGTGGATCACTGTTGCAGTCAGTCTTTAACTAGAAACAGAGAGAAATGCACTCTCTCTTCCACATATGCTGAAAGAGCGGTATGTGATACCACCTTTTAAAATAATCCTTTCAGGCACAATCCAGGGGGTTGATTGGTGTGATGAAAGTAGAAAAATAAAATAAATTATCAGAAAGAAGAGTATACTAAAAAAAACGGAATCACTTTAGTTTAGTATGCTGGGAAGACTTCTATGGAATGAAATACTAATATAAAATCAAATTGTTTTGAAATTGTTTTTCATACTAACTTTTCAGAAGGCATCCCGCAGTTTTATGAAATCAAGGAAGTCTTTGTATTAGCTTTGAGTTTTGGATCAGGCAATCCTTAGGTTTTCTTTATATATTTATTTAGAATGTATTTAGGTATGATGTTTCTTCTGTTCTTGAGTTAGTTGATATATGCACCAAAATATCTTAAATTAAAGAGGAGTTAAGGACATTCAAGTATGTATTACTTGATCCTGAAACTTTTATCCTGTATAGGCTTAATTAAGCATATATATTCTTGTTCATTATTTTAGAAAGATTGCTCCTACATGTTCATAAATGCTACTCACAAGGTTTGCAAACTTGTCCACAATGTTTCAGTTATGGTTTATATTAGTCAAACTCCCATGGAATGTACTGTGCACCAAGCATGCTAGAAATTATTTCTGAGAGGTTCATGGAGAAAGAACAGCAATTGTTATCATTCAGGTAGAAAACAAGAAAAAAATACCCAGAAATGCTGAATGTAAAGTGCTGCACATGCTTCCAGTATACATTTCTGTAATGTACATATGAGGGATGTAACTTCACCATTAAGTATTTTTGTTACTCTAAAATATGTAGAACAGGTCTTTAATTAGTAAGTTATAGATACCTTTCACAGAAACGCAGAAATCAGTATGGTTGGTAAATTGCAGAGGGAAAATGCATATATTCATTTCACATATTTTTCTAGCTCTGTTTAAAATGTCTTTACAATGAAAATTTTAGACCTGCTAGTAACGTGGCAGATGTGTCTCTAACCTTTCACAATTTTGTTTGCTTTAAATAAAGAATAGTTTGTGATTATAACTAATGGTTATTAATTCTCAGCAGCATCATGGAGAATACGAAATGTATGAATTATAACAACATAGATTTTAATACAGTGTAGATGTATTAAATAAGACATCTGAGGAGTCATTCTAAAATGCCATGTATGTGAGTATGTTGTAGGCTCATCTAGGTTTTGATATGGCAGATCTAATTCAGCAAGGAATTTGATCCAGCAAAGATTTATGCATATACAGTTCTGTGGCAGCATCAAGACCATATACTGTAATGTAAAAGACGTTACAGAAAAAAAAAAAACTTTCCAGAATTTGCATTAGTATGATATTATATGGTTATTTTAATTATAGGTATAGATGAAGGCATTTGTCTCCTGAAGGTTTCTGAATTCATTGATAAGCATCTTACTACTACTGAAACAATACTGAGTTTTTGACTCAGTGGTTATTAAGATAGCATTGCAATACAATACCAGCAGGCTTACAGTAATAGAGTTCAAAACAAGAGTGTGAATTGGGCTTGGGACTTTGTGCACTGCCAAATACTGAAGCAGGTACAAAGAAGGGGTGTAGCTGGAGTTATAATGGGAATTGTTAGGAAAAATCGTGCATTTTTTGAATCCACAGATGTTGAGCTTTATTAAAAGGGAACAGGAGGAAGAATCCTTTGGGATTCAGCTGGTTCTGAGCAGAATCCCGCTACAGAGCAGTAGGAGGGAAATAAGCCATGGTGTGGGGTTAAAGAGATAGGGACAGGTAATGAAATATTTTGTAATCTAGATTTAACAATGTCAGCTGTCGTGAATCTTGTGGTTTTTCAACTCTCCTCAATCAGTACTTGCCAGCACCTAATCATCTCCAGGTCACTTCCAGGTGATACTGGTTTCAGTCCCTGTTCACTGCACTGCAGCCTACCTGAAGTGTTCCCCCTCTCCCTCCCCGTGAAGGATTAAGCTGGGCGCCTGTGATATGGTCAATCTGACCCTTCACAAAAGATGTGGAATTCAATCTAGAATAGGGGCTCCCTGACACCTTTCTCCCAGCGCTACCGTTGCCCATAGCAGATGTGGTGCGCAGCTTCCAGCTCCAAGCTGGACCACGTGTGAGCTGTGTACTGCTGGTTCCCTCATTGTTGGTTGGAAACCTGTGCTCTGAGATAATCTGGTTTAGGAGGGCTGGTTTAGCTCGTTCCCATGTACTGGAATTTGCGTTGCTTTCTCCTGAAAAGGTTAGGGGGTATATAGGTTTTCGGCAGATGAAAGAGTATAATCTAGGATTGAAGACTGGCATGGGTAGCATTTCATATCTGTCCCAACAGGCTTCCCTGAGTCCTTAAAAATACCTTTATCTTTATCACATTTGTCTGTGAAGCATCATGTGCCAGTCTTGAGATGAGTTTATTTGGGCTCTTTCAGCTTTTAAGTTTGTCAAACGTTTAGAAACCCTTCCCCCCCCCCCCCCCCGAGTAATGCCTTTTTACCCTTTGTCTTGTTTCCTCCTTTTTCTTTTCTTTTCTTTTTTTTAAAATTATTTCGTGTCCCTGTCTCTTAAATGATGTGATATACAGAAACTTTGCTTCATTTGGTAGAATGTGGCTCACAGCTGAGGGCAGTCAACAAAGAACAGATCAAGTCAGCCATTTTTATTTTGTAGCTTACTCTGGATATTTAGCATAAAGAAAAGCAGTTACTTACTATTGTTGAACAGAGAATCAGAAAAAAATGGGTAGGGAGGAATGATGCTGTAATGCATACAAATGGCAAAAATGATTTTAAAAAGGAAAAAATGTGAAAAAGTCTTACTTCTGCACAGGCTGCAAGGCAATTTTTCTTTCACAAGATAATCAGTAAATTTCAATCCAAAGCAATTATGTGTTAAGCATTATGCAAAAATCCTGCAGATTTAACAAAAATGCTAATAAATGCTAAATATGAATAACCTGGAACATTCCTTCCCTTCCTCCCCCTCAAAAGCATGAAAATGTATTTTGGTTTTGCACAGCTGATTAAATTTGACTTAGTTTTAGATGGCTCTCTTCTCCTCTGTGTTTTGTAATGTTCTCTTCCAAATTTTAGAGATTTTGCTGCCTTTTTGCCATTTCCTGTGCAGAGAAAAAAACATATACTTTAATTTTCAGTAAGAGCTTCTTTGAGATTGTGACAGAATTTGGTGAGGGTAGTAGTGTCTTCTTATAGCCTGACTCATCCTAGGCCTGGATCACCTTTAGAAGTTCTTCTGTAGGTAACGTAACCAGTAGCAGCTAACAATTAAAGAGGAGGGGCTTAGTAGAAGAAGCTAACAACTCAATCAATTCAAAGGCATGTTAGGAGAGAGTTACTTCTGGGAGTTGTTTCTCACAAATAATTCCTTCAGTGGGGATGTACCAAGAATAATTCTGAGGTGAGAGGTCCACCCTGCAAATTAATGCATTGGGCCATATTAATAGGTACCACTTCGTGTTGAGGCTGAGCTGGACAACATGGGAGAGCTCATCTTAAAAGGGGCCACAGATTACGGGAATACTTGATTTGGTGAAACTACCAAGAGGTGGCTCTGGGTCTCTCAGCAACAAAATCTCCTGTCCCACCTGAATCTTGTCCATGACCATGGGATTTCTGCCCTTGTGGGGAAGAGGAGAGGGATAACCCCAATATCAGCTGCTCCTCCCAGGCTTTATGGAGAAGGATTGAACCTCAGGTTGCTGTAGTGCTAAACGCACTGCTATTTGCTTGATTGTACCAGTGAATGCCTCTGAAAATTTTGGGAAACTTGAATGGAAAATGAGGGTGGGTGGGTTGTTGGGGTTTTTTGTTTTATTTTGTTCTGTTTTTTACAAAAGCTGCTGAACTTTACAAAACTACTTTTTCAGCAAGGAATCTCCGCACTCCTTACTAATGCTCCTTCCCTTCACTGTCCTTTTCTTGTGCCTTCTCTCTAGAAATATTTAATTTTTACCTTCTATGTATTTTATCCTTGTATATATCGTTGTGTTTCAGTATTTCTAGCTCCAAGAGTGTTAGGGTCTTTTAACAAAAGTGCCAATCAAATGGAAATCCTAATGTTTCCCCTTAATTGCTGTTTATCATAGGCTGTAGCAGCTGTGGCCAACATTCATATTCAGATTCATTTTGCTTGCTTTTAAGATCATAGTTAAAGAGTAATTTCATTGTCTGTTCCTAATTTATATTAACTTCCCTTGTTTCAATCATTTGTTTTGGTAAGTAACTGTTAGAAGCATGTCTTCTCTCCCCTTTCCTCCAAATGCCATGGTATAGTGGAGTAATTAGTTGAAGTTTGAGGTGATCTGTTCCCTAACCCATCCTGTAAGTATCAATGCTAACAACAGTGTCTTGTGTTTTTTTTCTTTTTCTTTTTTCTTTTTTTTTATCAATGTGCTTCTTCCTGTGTGAATAATTATGTGTCTAGAAACAGCCATGGAGTGATTTTGCTGTACTGAATGGGGGAAAGATTAATAGTGACATTTGGAAGGCAAGTATATTGTCAGATTTTAGAACCTTTAATACTATTACCCTTGTTTTTTGCATGGCAGTGGCTGGTTTTTTCCCCTTTTATTTTTCCATGAATGTCATTCATAACCTAGGCCAAAGTAATGGGGGTACTGCTAGGGATGTCTAGCTCACAAACATGCTGCCTTTTCTGATCTTTCCACTTGGAATGGATTCAGTCTAAACTAGCAGGGCAACTGCCATGATGTAACCAGTAAGATGCCTGCACTGAATGAAACGCAGCTTGAGAATATATGCATGCCTCTTTTCAACTTCAGCCAGAAATACTATCGCTTCTTTGCAGGGAGGATTTAATTTCCCTTTGAAATAAGAAATAACATGGTGGTGTACTTAATACTATATTAATAGCACTTAATACTATACTAATAGCACTGCCTTTATCTCTAGGATCTGCATGCAGCTACTGTGAACCCAGACCCAAGTCTGAAAGAGTTTGAAGGAGCAACGTTACGCTATGCCTCTTTGAAGCTCAGGTACAATGACTTCAGAAGTCTCCGTGGAATGACCAGCTCCATTTTGTGCTGTGCTCTAATTTTTATATGATTTTAAGATTGATTTTGTCTTTTTTTTCTCTTCTTCTGTAACAGAAATGGTCCACAATCTGATGATGATGATTCTTGTAGCATCAACAGTGATCCAGAAGCCAAGGTCTGTAAGAGGATCCACAATGGGATAACAATTAAAAATTTGCAATTGTAAACATAACTTGTAAGGTGCAGAATGTCTCCTAAGTGTTGGAATTAACCGTACTCCTCTCTTGGCACAATGTAGATTGACCATGCAAGACTAATTCCATCAAAGGAATTTGCAGATTTAAAGCTTCATTCAATTTGGGCAGGAAAGTGTGACTTATTTTAGAATCACATAAGCCAAGAAATTGAATGTTACAGCTCAAGATTCTACTGTCCAACTGTAATACCTGACCCCTTGCACAACTAAGTGAGTTTTCTGTCCGAAGTGAGAGAGGGCTTTGTTGTTTGTCATGGCTGGATAGCTTCCTGGGGCATTCAGTGACAGAATTTGCTCTTTATTCTTGCGTTTGTCCCTTTTTTAATCATAGAATTGCTTAGGTTGGAAAAGACCTTTAAGATCATCAAGTCTAACCGTTAGGTACTCTTCCTTCTTTATGTGGCTGCTTGAACTCACAGCTAGTAACAAGGAAGTTACTTTTCAGAAGAAGGAACTTTGTATTTTTGAACAGAGAATGCAACCTAATTTGAGGATAAAATTCCTAGAGAAAAATGAGACCATTATGTGAACAAAGCACCATAATTAAATCAGAGCCTTTACTGTTGTAGTCTAAGGTTTTTGAGGAGAAAGAAGCAGCAGAAGATTTTGAATGCTTTTATACATATCTCCAGATTTGTCTTGTTTACAGTTTTGCCTTGTGCTTGTATCCATTTTTAAGGATGTATGTGAATCTCTGTAATTGGAACTCCAAGTAATTTAAATAAATATTTTGTCTGTGCCATACACCCGCAGTGACTGGCAGGTTCAGAAGCTACTTATATGCAGGAAGACCATATATAACAGTTAATAATTATGATAGCAATAATGATATGTTTTAGGAGAGAAAACAGACTGATCAGGGTACTTGAACTTCTTTGTCATCTTGATTATTTGGCTTGTGATGTTTAAATCAGATGTGAATAAACGTGTTTTGCTTGGCAGGCTGGCTATTAAAAAGCAAGGGTTTCAGCTGTGCTTGTTACAATGACAGGCACTAAATTCAGAGCACAGTAAATGGAGTTGGAGGAGTGATGAGCATTAGGTACCAGTCTGCAGAACCAGAAAGCTGTTCCTTTCATGATAAGCTTTATAATATAGAAAGCATTATAGGAAGGCAGTATTTTGATATGTCTGACTCTACTCGGTGCGAATCACCTGGTAAAAAATTAGGAGCCCTTCCTGCATGGAGAACGGTGGCAGTATTTGTGTGGATGAATAACTCATGTTGTCATCTCCCTTCCCTCTCTGACTTGCTGTTTAAACTTCAAAATTTATGGAACTGATACTGATCTGGTTTCTGTGAAATGGGTCAATGCCAAAAACTTGTCCTCTTTTGTCTGTCACAGCTGGTTTTGTTTCTCCTGTTAGGGCAAAGCTAAGCTGATGATGCTTAAACGGGTGATCAAAACAGCGCTGAAGCATTCACACAAGTGACTGAGAGGAGCCAGACAAGAAATCAAGGAGAAACTATGCGTGTCTGGGTTGGGTTTTTGGGTTTTGGTGTTTTGTTTCTTTTTTTTTTTTAAGGACTTGAGTCAAAGCACCTTCCCTGCTGTCTGTCGCTGCCTGATGGGGATGTTGTGCAGGGGCAGTAGTGACCGTGTGTGTGTGTGTGGTCCTGCAGGTGAAGCTCAGCAGCGCTGATGTTGCTTTGCAGCAGGAGAGGCTGTGGGCAGAGCTGTTCGCTGCCTCTACCCCTGCCCCAAGGACAGGACCAGCAGCTGCTGCATGGCCGTACCTCACAGGGATGGGAAGTGGTCTGGAAACAGCAGGGAAAATCTTCACCTGTGGAAAATGCTCTGGAATTTTTAATTCTCACGTGGATGGGAAGGGGGGGTGGTAGGTGGATTCCTTGCTAGTCCATTTTGCCCTAAATATTGTGAGACTGAAAGAAATCTGATAGAATTTGAAACTGATGACCTGAGAATTGGAAAATCAGATTTATTTTTTTTAGCCCCTTAGGCTGTCCTCTGCCACATAACATGCCTTAACTATATTTGATTGAAGCTTGCTTTTGTGTAGCAGCACGCACAGATACTTCTTCATTTCAGCATGAGAGAAGGAACTTTTTTTATCTCATTAAACTCTCTGTGGAAGAATTTGTTAAAATGGACCTTGTTAGGGATATTTTGGAGATCTTAAACCTATTTAAACCTATTCATGACAGTGGCCAGTACATTTAAAAAAAAAAATATATTAAATTTCCTCAATGGCACTGAGTAATGCTGCCTTTCAGCAAAGGGAACCATGCCATCTTGTGGAAAGCTGAAGTAGTTGTCCTCCCTCAGATTGTGAACTTCTGCAAAGATTGTAGCACTGCAAAAATGTCAGTTTAGGGAAAAGTGTGTCATATAATTCACGTAATCCTTGTAAGAAGAGTGATTTATGCAGCAACACAGTTAAGCATTTAGAACTGTCAATAAACAACAAATGTTTCTCTATACATCACATGCTTAAGAAGCAGTTCAGAGCTTCATATCCTTGGTATTTTGATGCAGGTTGTCCACACAAGACCATAAAAGAGAAGGGGAAGGAGGAGAAGGGGGAGAATAATTACATCCAACTTCTTGATTTCAGTAATTTATTTTGATAGGGATTTCTTGAAGAGATGGCTCATCGCGCTTGACAAAGATCCTAATTCTGCATGTGAAACGTGCACAATTGGAAATGAGTTTTGAATTGGTACTTCCCAGGAGACAGATCATAACCTTCCTGGTTAATTTATAGAGCAATGTGTGCCTTCCTAATTGAGTTTCAAGGGAGGTAAAAAGATGCTTTTACCAGTCCTGGACTGTAAATTCCTCTGGACTGTCTCTTTTTACATTGTTGTAAAATACAATGGCCATGTGTAAAAGTATAGAAAGATGCTAAATTTTTTCCTTGTCGTCGTGCAAAGAAACTGAACCTCCTGGGAAACCAATCTCTGACCCAGGGAACGGGATGAAAAACTTAAAGCTTGTGTGACTCAATTTCTCCACAGTCTTTTCAGAATCAGCCTGTTTGCCCTGACATTTGGGCTTGCCTTTATTATCTCCTTTTAAATGTGATTTTCTGCTGAGACTTAATGTAGTCTTTCTGTGTTAAGCACGGATTTTCGAATTCCCTATCCACATTTGCCTGTTCAGCAGAGCTTCACTTTCCAGCCTTGCCATTTTAGAGTAGTTTTGGCTCTCTATCGATACCTAAGAATGGGAAGAATATATTTATACCTGTGGAAGTACTAGGCAGTTGCTCCAAAAGTCTGTTTTCTACTTTAGAAACCAGCAAATGCTCAGGATCTCAAAGGACAAGAAGGAGAGTATTTCCAAGAGGGGTAGAGGTAGGAGGTGCTGATACCAGGTGTTCAAATTTAATTATTTACCTGTAGGTGAATGAATACATAGTTGGAGACATGGGAAGTGAGTTGGTGATGAACTCCTGTGGATTACCTGGGCTTTAGGGATTAACCAGTTGGGCTTTTTGTTGTGATGTGAGGGATGTTTCTGACAAGCTGACTTGTCAGACCACTTGTGACTGTCATGAAAGTGGCCCATAAATAGCACTATCAAAATAATTTTACAAAATACTGTGTACCCCCCAAAGATTTAATATCCATCTCTGCTGCTTTTCTTGCTATGGAGGCAGGTATGTGTGTTTTGAAGACATCCTACATTTGCTTGTTTCTGGTCTTCTCCAGAAGCCGATATCCTGGCTAGACACAGGACCATTTGTAAATAGTCAGCATGTTTCCTTGGTGATGGAGAGAAGTCTGGTTTCTGATGCAAGTGAAGACTTACCCAGAGAGGAGGAGTTTTTGCCATGTCTGGTAATTCCAAGAAAGGATTGTCTTTTCATACTGAAGTCCATAATTCTCTCTCACAGAGTAACATCTAAAATTGTTGGTGCAAACAGAGAATATTCAACATTTTTCAGCAGTTTCACAGTCCACCTCGTGCTGCATATAATCTTCTCATGAGCACATGTAGCGCTACAAAAAGCCTTAGTTCAATCTGTTTCAATTAATAGACTCAATTCAGTTAATTAAATCTGAGGAGCTTATTCCATCTTAAGTCTCCTTACAAAAAAAAAGATTAAAAGAAAAATTGGGCGTCTTCAACAGTTTTTCTTCCAAAATGGAACTTCTGCTTGTTTTTGCAATAGGAATTTGTTTCTTTCAAAAACAATTCCTGATTTTAATTCCCTAGGAAATAGGACCTGTTATAGGGTAGAGGACTAGAAGAAATCTTGAACTCACTCCTTTACCTTTATAGGGAAGCACAATATATAATCCCATGTATCAATTTCAAGTTTCTTCTTAAATGTTTTGGGTTGTTTTTTTTTTTCACCTTGACTAGTCTTACTGACGAACTGATTCAAGTATTACCTTCCTTTGATGGTCAAAAACCTTTTAACCTAAACTTTTTGAGGCCATTTGTTATTGTCTTATTCTGTGTTTAGCCATCTTCTAGTGCATTTATACCAGGCAATGATGTCTCTTCTTCAACTTAGTTTTATTAAAGTAAACAAGCCAAGTGCTTTTAATTATTCATAGTGACACTAGGAGGGTTGCCATCTTCTTATGGGTCCCTGTTTCCCTGACTGTTGTAACAGCTCTATGTTTTCTGTCTTTAATTTTTAACCATGGGCAATCAGATTTGTTACTTTGGGTGGAGTTTTTCCAGGGTCTTGTAGGGTAGCTTTAAAATGTCCATATTCTCTATAGGGAAGTTCTTGACACATAATTTCATTTCCTTTTTCAACTCCTGAGTAGGTAATCATTTTAATTCCAAGTTAAGCCATAATTATAACCAGTGTTTGTAAACATGAGCAGCAGAAAAGTTCTGGTCTTCATCCCAACAATTTGAGTAGCACCTTGGTCAGGAGAGGGGAGTTGGTTGTTTTGGTTTTGCAAAGAATCTTACTGCCAATAGCGGAAAATT